ACAGATCTGAGCTCTCAGGAGGCAGAGGCCACCCTGCTCCTCGGGGTCCGTCCAGCAAGGGTCCTGACCCAGAGAGGACACTGCTAAGAGAGACAGAGAGACAGAACCAAAGACAGAGATGAGGCAAGGGAAGAAGGCTCTGGGGAGACAGATGCACACACAATGGGCAGGGAGCACTCTGACTGGTGAGCCAGCTGTCCAGCCCCTCCCTCACTGCCCAGGAAGGTGGCCATTTCTTTGAAAAAGGATCTGTGAATGCTTAGGAATTCAACAAGAAGTTCCTCCTCTCTGTGGGCAGCATCTGAGCTGCCTACTTTAGCCCTGGGTTTTGGACAAGTGCTCCCAGCAAGGGGGAAGTGCCAGGGGTCCTCCTGCCCCAGAGGCGGGGCAGGAGGTCAGAAGAGCCCGATGGAGCCTTTTATTTTTATTTTTATTATTTATTTATTTTTTTGGTGGAACTAGGTTTTGAACTCAGAGCTTCCCACTTGCAAAGCCATACCTCCTGCCCCTGATGTAGCTTTTTAAATGAAAGTGTGAAAGCGGATAGACATTAGTGTAAGAGGCTCAGCTGGGGCCAGGAGGGCTGGCCAAGGGGACAGGAAGGGCCTAGACATAGGCTGCCTCAGGGCCCAGCCAGACACGTAAGGACCTTCACATCTGTGTGGCCAGGGCTGGGGAGGAAAAGGCTCTGCTTCCTCCTCCCTCTTCATCACTCCCCTCCAAATACTGGCTCATTTATTGAGGCTTCTGAGCCCTTGTATGATTCCCTCTGTTCTCTCTGCCTGCAATGCTCTTTCCTGCTTTGCCCAGTAACGTCTTCTTGACACTCAGCCTGCCCTTCTGCTCTCCTTTCCCTCCCTAGCTATACCCTTCCTGATCCCCTCTCCTGATTCTCTCCATCCGTCCTTCTCCCAAAGGCTGAATAGCCATGACTCAGACTCAGGTTCCCAGCCTCACCATCTCCACACACACTTGAGGTGACCTCATCAGCCACACGGGTTGCAACACCAGCTACAAAGAACAACTCCCAAATTTATATCTCTATCTGGGACCACTCTGCCTTCCAGACGTATCTATCCAGTTGCTTACTTGGCTTTCCACTCGGACAGCTCAGAGCCATTGCACACTTGGTCATTAAAGCATCATGCCTGGGCTTCATCCTGCCCTCCTAGTCATCTCCCTTCTCCCCCTGACCTCTGGCCCAGAAGCCTGTCCTGACTGTCCTCGTCTTCTGTGAGCCTCTACCTCGAATCCACAGCAAGCCCATCTGCTGGGTCTTGGACACATATTCAGGCTCAATGGCTTCTCACTTCTTGCTTGCTATCCTGGGTCCAAGCCATCACCACCTCTACCTAGAAAGGAGCTCCCTGATCCATGCTTGCTGCCTGCATGAGTCTCCCTCGGCCTCTCTGAGCTCACCTCCCGCTCTAACCGAGCACCACCCACGCTGCTTCCCTGCTGTTTCCTTGAATGTCCCACGCACCCCTGCTCATTATGGATTGCACTCAGGTCTCGGATGTCACCAGAGGTTTTCCTTCATCATGGAGCACCCCACCCCACCCGGCAGTTCAGCTTGTTTCCTGGCTTCTTAAAACTTCTCTCCTTAAAACTTAGTACCATCTGACAGAGATAGCTTCACTTTTCAGGTGTTTATTGTCCTTCTCTTCATGAGAACAGATAGCCATGAGACAAGAGTTTTGTGATTTATTCCCTGTTGTGATTTATTCTCCCCAATTTCAGGAGCTCCTGACACAGAGACATTTTCAATAAACCTCTGGAGAATGAAGAAATGAAGAGCACTGCATCTTCTTCCTTGAACACCTGCCTACAGAACCAGCGTGTGACCCTCCTGGCCTTTCCAGTGCAGTCACAGACACTGCACAGCCTTGAGCCCTGCCTCATGGAATTGAGGCAGGCCCTGAGACCACACATCTGTCTCCATTACACATTGTGCCCTCTTGGAGCAGGTCTGGCCTGGTGCAAGACTCAGTGAGTGTTTGATGAGTGAATTGAGTAGGAAATGGGTGATTGGATGGATGGATGGTGGGTGAATGAGTGGATGGATGAATGCATAGATGGACAGGTAGGTGGGTGGTTGGGTGGGAGAATGGATAGGTCAGTGAGTAGATGGATGAACAGATAGAAGAAAGGATGCATGACACGTGGATAAGTGAGTAGATGGGTAATAGTGAGTCCCACCACAGGTACACAATTAAGATGGCTGGTGGTTTGCATTCTCTGGGGAGGACGGGTCAGACAGTGCCATGTGGTAAAGGTAAAAGTGTGGATGTTTATATGGCAATGGGATTAAGCCGAGTAGTTCTGGTGTGGTCACAGCTTGTTGTGTGACTCCTGGCAGGCCCAGGAGCTTGCTGTGCCTTGGTCTCATGGTCTGAGCATGCAGATAGTAATTCCTGCCCAGGACTGACAGAGACCACAGTCATGTCTCTGGTGAAGCACATCTTTGGGCAGGTCTGCCTGAGATAGTCCTCTTTTCTCAAGCCCTGTGGTCTTGCTGGCCACGCCCTCAGAGTTCAACTCCAAAGAGCAATCAGACCCAGCCGGTTTGCAACACCATTAAGAACTGGAGTGAGGACAGGACCGAAGACCTGTACCCATTTTAGAAATGGGCAAACTGAAGCTCACTGGAGTGTTTTGTGGCAGGATAGATACCACATAAGGAGCAGGTCAAGAATGGCTGGGAAGAAGGTGACCAGCCTCAGCTATGGCCCAGCCTGTCACTTTTCCCCTGCCCAGGTTTCAGTTGGAGGTGTTGGCATGGCACGGCCACCAGAGCTTACAGGTCTATAGTTACCTTTCCAGGTCTGCAGCTCAGTGACAGGTGGCAGCTCCTCTCCTCACACCTCTCACAGCATTGGTCTGACACCCACGGGCCACCTCCTCTTCCTCCTAGATACAGGGAGACATGGACATATGTGAGCAGCTAGAGACATAGACAGTTCTCAACTCCCACCCAACCCTGTCCTGACCACTGGACCACTTAAACACATCCGAGATGCCTAATTCATCAGAGCCATGGCGTCCTCCCTACCCAGTCATACTTAAATGAGCAAGCCAACTTCTTTTGGGATTTTTAAAAATACATGTATGTGTTTTGTTTTTTCTGGGGTTAAGGGGGCTTTGTGCTGTTGTCTTTCTCTTCTTGGTAACAGAAACAGAAAGCCATCACCTTCCTGTACAGCCCCCAGACAGGGTGGCAGGGAGAAGCTGTCGGGGTATTTTTAGCCAGGCATACAAAGCTCTCCTCCCTGTGCTGAGTCTGGCTTCGGGGAATTATCTCACAGGGCTGGCCGGCCAGCAGCCACTTCCAAAGTCATTCTTTTGACCCCTGCCTGAATTCTTTCCTCATTATGAACTGCTCACCAGATCTCTGGCTGACACTTCGAGGCATCTGACGTGTACACACTGCCCCAGGGAAAACCAGCCCACTGCCCTGCCTCGCCCTCCTGCGCACGTTCAGCCTGCTGCTCAGAGGCAGAGTGTGAGGCAGACAAGACCCCTGGTTCCCACTTACTTTGTGTTTCCCAGCTTCCAGTCCTTCTCTTATGCCCTTCTCACCTTTTGGTCTGAGCGAGTCCTACCTGCAAGATGACTCAATTACTATTCACCTTGATTTCAATTCCTTTTTTTTTTTTTAAGCTCCAATAAATGTGGGCTTGTCCAAAGCAATCACGGACACTAAATAATTGGTTTGATAGTCTCGTTTTGATTTCTAATACACCTGAATAAGTATATAATCAATGAAACAAAACTATGTTCTTTCCAGTACTATCTAACTCTAGAATCTTGTCACAGACTTCTAGAGTTTCCTGGGCCAAGTTCTGGCAAACTTACTATAGTGTGCTAATTTTAATTTTTCCCTTGTGCAGGAGAAAGAGAGTCAGGGAAGAGGACCAGGCCCAAGCATCAGAGCCAAGGGAGGTGAGGAGATCAAAGTCATGAGGGTGGTGTGAGCTTGTGGGGCTACCCTCTTTCAGCACTGGCCAGACTAGCCTAGTATTGCACTGAACTCCGCTTGTGAGAATCTAGGTGAGTGGCACAAGGCCTCCTGAAGGAGGGCGTCCAAGAGGGTCTTTTCCCAGAATTCCTGAAGCTTCTGGCTCCCTCTGCTGCTCCATCTGTCTCCCTGCTGCCTGGTCAGCAGGACTGAAAGCGTAATTCCCTCTCTAGGTAGATTTGGAGGCCCAGACCATGCCTCTGGCCCTATATCCTGCTCTCTTAGTCCTTGGTCCTGCAGTCTGGAGGCAGCCACCACTCTTTTCTGGGCCTCAGTCTCCCTTGGTGTGCCTTGGGGATAGGCTTGGATAATGTCAGTCTCACAGCTCTTGGGGCCTCCCTGGTGGTCTCTGTCCTTTCCCACTCTACCCACAGGCTGGAGACCCCAGCTGGGCCCCTGGCCAGCCCTAGGTTCCACTGCCCACCCCTCCTGCTAAGAACAGGATGTGGGTGTCAGGAGGTGAGCGAGAGTGTGGGGTCGGGTGAGGAGTGGCCTCGGGACAGGGCTTCCTGAAGCCAGATCGGTTTACCACAGTCAGTTGGAACCGCACAGCTGTGAGTTATAAATGTCCCCATCAGAGCTGGGCCAGGAGGCCCTGCTGCCAGAGAGGCACTAAGGGTCCCTACTGTCCACTCCAGAGTCTCCCTAGCCATATCCATCTTACCTGAGGCCATTCCCAGGTGTCCAGCCCTAGTGATCCCTGGGGTCTCCGTATGCCTCCCTCTGAGATGCTTGGTGCGAGGGATTCTGACCCCACTCTCCCCTGTCTGCTCCTCACCCTTCCAGGTGTGTGAATCTTGTGTTCTACTGACTTGAGAGCTCCAGGGGGCAGGGTCTGCCCTGTGCCCCCACCCAGCTTGGCACACAGCCAATCACCCCATTGATGTATGGGGTTCAACTCAGCACTCTGCTTTCCATGGCCCAACTGCCCTCTGGTGCCTATCCCTGGGGATGCACGTGACCGGGAGAGAGCTGTGTGCAAGGTCACTTGGCCTAGGGCAGTGGGAGGCAGCGGGGCTGGGCACCAGGCCTCGGTGCTTCCCCCAGGAGACCCTCCCTAAGGTCCCATTTTCCCTGGCTGTCCCTGGGTTCTTTCAGGTTGGGCTCCTTGGGTGTGCAGGGTGGATCATAGGGCAGGGGCCAGTCTGCACACAGCATAGCTGTCCACAAGATAAGAAGTTAGGTCCCTCCAACCCTGGGGTGGGGACCGACTCCTGCTGGGACCACCAAGGTGAGCAGCTCAGGCCCAGGCCACAGAAATATAGTAACTGTCACAGAGTATCATTCAGGCTCACAGTCACTGAACAATTATACAATTCTGGAGGCTCTCTTTCACAAAACATATAAAATTACAAATAAATATTTAGAATCAGGAAAGAAAATCATATTAAATTCCTGGAAACTCAGAGATCCAAGCTCCTTTTTCATGAGGCCTCTTTAAACAATTTACCAAAAATGCTTATAGTGAAAGGCTTATAATTGCAACCTGCTGCCCCTCCCCCGCCAACTCTCCATAGCTCCCAGGCACTGCCAGGCTTTACTCAGTTTCATGAGCACCCAGTGTGTCCCTCTCTAATCATCATAGCAGTGATGAAACTGGTAATAATGCAGATATTAAAGGACCTTAAGCTGTGCCATTCTAAGTACTTTATGGGAACAATTCCCATAAATTCATTTAATCTCACCATATCCTTGGAGGTACATACTGTACCCATTTTAACAGATGAGAAAAGAGGTTAAGAAACCAGACCAAGGTCACACAGCCATCATGTGAACCCAGACATCCTGGAACTAGCTCTGTTAGAAGGCCTCACTATTCCTCTGCCACCTCTATGGAAGGCTGGGGGAGTTTTTCCTCCCCGAGAAACTCCAACAGCAGCCCCGCAGCCGAGGCTGACACTAAGCCCCTCATTCTTTCATTCATGAATGAGACCATTCATGTGTACCCCACAAATGCTCTGAGGACCCACCAGTCTTGAACAGCCACAGTGAATGGGGCCTCCTGCTCACCTCATTCAGCCTAGGACATGCCGGGTCTTCTTCATGGGCCGAGGTGGGCACTGCCTCAACTTCACTGGCTGGCCAGCTGGAGTGAGGGAGTCACACATCCTAGAGCTGGGCTAGGCAGGTCCCAAGGGAACCCCAATGTCATGGGGGAGTATGTTGTCCAGAGACGACTAGAGAAAAGTGACTTCTGAGCACATGCTGAGTCTGTGTGAGGTCTGAGGCTGGTCTTTTGGGGGAGCAGGGCCAGTTGCCCACAGCCTGGAGTGGCCAAGGCCAGGTGCTGGTGGGACAGGCTGGTGATGGCAGAGCCAAAAGCAGGTGGCTTTTGGCCTCTAGAGCAGAGGCTTTGTTTTCCCTCTTTGTCCTCCATCTGCCCCCTAGCCCTCCCAGTTTTTCCCGATTGTGTTCAGGGCCATCAAAGGACTGATGAGCAGAGAGATCTTTGTTCTCAGTAGTACTGAGGACTGTGACCATGGATGGCTCAGGGCTCATCGTGACTGCATTGAGCACTTTCTTAGGAGCGCTTTGCACACAGCTCTCAGTCCTCTCAGTCCCACTTTTCCTAACTGACAGGGTAGACTGAGGCCCTGGGAAGCACCAAGGAACCCTGGTCCCAGTCTCCAGAGCCTCTGAGACTTCCAGCCCTGACCCTGACCTCTGACCATCCAGCCAGCACCTGGCTGTGTCAAGGCCATTCTCCCTCTACTTGGAGGACCAGCCATCATCATGCTGGCCAGGAACACAGAGAGCAGGAGGAGGCCAGGAAGTCAGATTCTGACCCACTCCCATGGAGCAGGTACCAGAAGTTCCTAGAACATCCATTTACACTGCAAATGGCACCTCCTTGGGGACTATTGATAAGGCCTGCAGGGATAGGGAGAGGACAGCACAATGCAGAAGCACTGTCTGCCTGGCCATGGAATGGGGGCAGTAGTGGCCTGCTAGCCAGACACTGGCCAACTTGGGCCCAGGTTTCTGTTGCCCCTGACTCATGGGCCTGGACCTCTGACCTGGCATTCACTCTCCAGTGTGTTCCCACTTCAGTCACCAGATATCACAAGCCCCATCTGTGTTCTGCCTTTATTACTTATGTGTCATTATTTAAATCACTTCAAACCAGTCTCTTTCTTCTTATTTAGCCTCTTATTTAGCTAAAGCAGTATCGTCTGTGAAATCATGGGTTTGATATACTAATTATATATTTTTTTCTAATCCACATGAAAATAAATACATAATATTAAAATCCGAAATTCAGACCCTTGCACCTGTCCTGGTAGGATAGTGTGTGGGCAGGCTGTGGGAAAGGCTGGGCCCAGCAGGGAGGGAGTAGAGCAGGGAGCTGGGGAGCAGAGCCCAGGCTGGAAAGGCACATGAGCTCCCTCCGAACAGGATACCTCTTTCCCCCTTAGGGGCTGTAGTTTGGGCCAGGCTGTTCATTTCTTCTGTCATCTGCTAATTCCTCCCGATACCAGCAGGACACACAGTATGAGTCCAAACACCTATAATAAGGTCTGTTCTTCCACTGTCTTGCTGGGAGGAACTGGACCTCAGTTTCCTCATCTGTACAGAGACATGAGTCAAGGGTTCCTCCTGGCTCCATCAATCAGACTGTGCTCTACTGGCAGTGACCCTGCACCTCAGATAGACCCTCTGTCCACACATGGACCTCCCTTGCCCCCTCTTCCCCTTACACCCATCGGGGCCTCTAGGGGTGTCTGGGTGCCTAACGGTGAGACGGTCATCCTATATGACAGCTATAAAATTAAATAATCAGCTAATCACCAGTAAATTAGCAACCCATCTTTACATAGAACAAATATAGTATTTACGTAAAAGTTGTTAGGAGTTTCTCTCTTTTTAATTAGCAGAAATAAATGCAAAATGA